AACCCGCGGGCTCAGGCAATCCATTCACCTCAGCCTCCCAGAGGCGCAGGATTACAGGCTGAGCCACCGAGCCCGGCTTGCATGTAATTCTGTATCCTCACTGATTCCCTCTGCTCCGCAGTTACCACCTGGACTGTTGGTGTTCCTGTGTGACCACTCTTGTTTCCTTTTCGTCTGCCTCCCTTCCTTATTGAACTCTCACTTAGTCCATCACACAAACTCAGAGCACTTAGTGGGTTCCTAGAATGTGCGTTTTAGACTAGTGCGTTTAAATATCTTGCTTAAGACCTTTTAAGAAGAGACAACAAACCGGGCTCGGTGGGCTCAGCCTGTAATCCCGCACCTTGGGAGGCTGAGGTGAGTGGATTACCTGAGCCCGCGGGTTCGAGACCCACCTGAGCAACTTGGTGAACCCTCATCTCTACAATAAATCAAAAATTAGCCAGGCGTGGTAGCACACGCCTGTAGTTCCAGTTACTCGGAAGGCTGAGGTGGAAGGATCGCCAGAGCCCACCAGGTCGAGGCTGCGGTGGCCGGGAGCTGCCACTGCACTCCAGTCCGGGTGACAGAGTGAGACTCCAACTCAAAAAAAAAAAAGAAGAGACAAAAGGAAAGTCGCCACAATTGGACACCGATTCTCTGACTTGTTAAAGTTTCAGTGTATTTGCAGGGACAGGAGATGGCGCCAGAAGGCAGTGGAATGCGTCGTTTGGGTTTAAGGGTGTTAGCCAACCCCAGAGGGAGAAAAGGGCTTCAGAGGGAGAGGTCAGAATTCAAACAAAGGTGCCAGAGTTGGAACAGAAACTAAGACAGAAGGGGAGAGGGGGTTGGGTCGTTTTTTTTTTAAACCTAGATGTAAAAGTCCCCTTGATACCTACTCCAAATAAGCATGGCTAGAAAGCAACGACAGAAATACCCACAGTAAAGCCAAAGATCAAAATAAAGTCGAGTTCCTGGAGGACCACCTGCCTCCTCTTGCCCTCTCTTCTAGAAACCAGGGCCTTTGTCTATTTGGGAAGCACAAGGGCCTGGGGTGGGGGAGTGTAGGGGAAGGCTGCTCACTCAGGATTGAGGAAGTGGAGATTTGGGGCTAAGACATCTTTGGGAACAATGTTCAATTCTGTAGGCAAAATCCCAGAGCTCACCAGCAGTGAAAGACTTCCCGGAAGAAATCCCACACGAAGCGTTCCTGATTAAAATTTTAAAATTCATGGATGAGCCAGGAGGTGGCGCCTGGCAAGACATACTACCTGCCCGGGGAGTCTGAATCTCAGCCCGGCTCTGGCTCCACAGGAACTCTGTCCTGGCAAAGGTCATTCTACCCAGATCTGTTCTGGACTTTTCCTTCCATGCCAAGCTGTCTCTGCTTTCTTTTTTTGTTATTGTTGTTTCTTTGCATAAATTACCCTGACCCCCAGGAAGTCTAATTTATAATTTAAGTATTTTTATTCTCCTTAGATGGGATGGATGAAGCTTTGAGGGAACCTCAAAACATAAAACTTTCCTGTAGGGGGAAAAGAATTCAGAGGGCGATAAGAAAATAAAAAAGGAAATGACATCTGCAGAATGGCTTGGCTTTGCAGATCAATCACAGGGGACAGAGAGGCTTGGTGAGCGCCTGTCTCCGCAGGGGCTGATGATCCAGCATTTGCATTGTTCCCGTGCATTTGGCTTTTTTCCTGCTCCCTGATTTAGCTTTTGCTCCCTTTGTTTGGCTATTTATTGCCACTCGGCAGGAGCAAGGAGGGCAGAGGGAGCTCCGATGGGCGCATCCTCCTGGCTGGCAACTCTGGTGAAGGGCATGGAGGATAAAGGCTTCAATGTCTGACTTGAAATGATCTGTGGGTTTTGCATTCTCTAATGAGGGATTTAGGATGTACATTCCGATCGGGATTTCCAGTCCCGTGGGGGAGCAGACACCAGCCCGCATTCCTGAGACGCGCAGCCTCCATGCGCCGCTGGCCCAGCTCCGGTGGCAGGTTTCACTCAGTCCCACATGTCCTACCCCAGCCCTTTGTTGGGCAGGAGGGAAGACCCTGGGCCCCTCTTCCATCTGGATCACATGGTCCCTGGTCCCTCCCCTCTCTTTCTCAGGAGTCCGCCTTTTTCTGATGGTCGTAGTAGTGATTATTACTACAGTCTTTCCTTCTCTCCTCCAGCTTTGGCCTCTCTGCCAGAGGTCAGTGTCCTCTTCAGTGACAAAAGCCGCCCTAGATCTGGGCTCCCCGGGGAGGGAGGTGGCTGGGTCTGGCAGTCAGAGCCGCTGTCTCTCCATGGTGCTGCTCCAGCCCCTCCCCCGCTGAGCATACAAATGGGCTTTATCCAGCAAACAAAACCACCCCCCCCCAGGCCACAAAGGCACGTGGACCCAGGCCTTACCGTGGGAAGGGGGTGGTGACAGGCGCAGGAGACGAGATAGCTTCATACAAGTTCTCCTCGCTCGCCTCGCCTCATTTCCCACAACCCGGATTTTAGTCCTCAACTTCCCTGCCCTCACCTGCACCCAGAGCCCCCAACTCCTCCTGGCTGTATATCTCCTGACTCTGGGCTCCTCCTAAGCCAGGGCAGCTCAGATCTGCCCCTTACCACCTAGGGCGCCGCTCCTCCTTGGAGGCTCAGCCAGGTGGGGGAATGGAAACACAGTGTCCTCTTGAGGGGGCTGAACTGGAACCCAAAGCTCCTTCCCTTGCTCCCGCCTGCTCCAGGGGACACCCATCTGAGCAGCGTGTGTGTGACTAGCAAAGGAAGGAAGAGCTCACCCCAGCTGGGCTCCTGAGCGGGGCCGGGGCTCCTCCACAGCTCCTGCGAGCCGGGCCATTCTGCATGCCTAATCGGCTATTTAAGGAGCTGTTCGCCAGCAGCCCAGGCAGCCCCCCCTCCCCACACACACCCGTCCAGAGCCACCTTAAGAGCAGGAGGCAGTTGTGAAGTCGCTGGCCAGCAAGTGGAGTGAAGACTACAGAGGGAGATAAAGAGAGAGGAAAGAGCGAGAGGCAGCCAGAGATCTGTCCTGGAGACCCTGAAGCCCACGGTACCCCACTGGAAGCCAGATCCCCTGGAAGCCCACAGAGACACAGAGACAGCAAGAGAAAAGAAATCAATACACTCAACGCCACGAACTCCTCTCTCTCTCTCCTCTCTCTCTCTCTCTCTCTCTCTCTCTCTCTCTCTCTTTCTCTCTCTCTCTCTCTGCCTACCCTAGTCCTCTGGTCCTCTGGTCCCCAAACTCCCAGTCCCCGTTCCCCCTCCTGGGATACCATGTTCTCCGCACTCCTGCTAGAGGTGATTTGGATCCTGGCTGCAGATGGGGGTAGGTACAATTGGATGTCTGTGTGTCGATCTGTGCTAAGGTCCACAAGTCGCTATGTGGCTTCATGCGGGGAGGAGAGGTGTAAAAGGCGGCTAGAGGTTGGAACAATAGGCTCAGGGGTGGGGGAAAAGAGAGAAAGGAGTGTGGACAAGACCACTTCCCTTCTTCTCCCTTTGCCTTTCCCGCCTTGCTGGTATTGGGGTGGGGAGAGCTAGCAGGGGGGCAGGGTATGTGCACACAGAAGTGCTGGAGTCTTTTTGCAGCCTACAGAGTTTGTCCAGAGCTCTTTCTGTCACTGCCCTAGTCCCAGGCTGTCCTCCTGGGTTTTTTATTTACAAACTCCTCCAATTTGGAGTCATAGAGGCCTGGAATGAAAGGACTGAGGGCTGGTGGGGGTGGGAGGGCGATACCCTCAGCCCCACTGAGACCCTGATCTCCAACGGATCCATGAGCCCTCATGGTCAAGGTCTCCTTGTGGTTCAATGGATCCCAGTTTCCCCCTGAAAGCAGCAGCAGGAATCGTCAACATTTGCTGGAAACATTACAGCCCACAAAGGACTTTCAGGAGCTCCCAGATGAGGAGGGATTCCTGGGAGAACAGGCCGAGGTGCTCCAGGAGTGTCCCCAGGGACCCCTACACTTCTTTTTTGTTTCCTGGGCCTAGCACAGTATCCATCCAGGAGATAGTAGGTCTGTGATTGAAGAACAGGGTATGGGGGGTGCAGAGCTTAAGGGAAATGCTGGAAGAATTATGGGGGCAGGAGAGCCAACAGAGAGTCACAAGACTCACCTAAGGAGAAAGAAAAACAGGGGAAAGTGAGGGAAAGACATAGAATGAATGTGTTGTGGATTTGGTGGGAGCGGACGGGTGCCTTCACAGAACCAGGGGGTCCAAGTTGTTGGAGTGTCCCACAGAGTTGGTAAATGAGAGGCTGCCTCCCTCCTCCCTGGGCTGCTTTGCACAGTTGCATAAACCGAGAACTGGACAGCAGAATAGACGGAGGATGAGATCATTGATGAGTTTGAGGAATATAAGGGAATAAAGGAAGGGGATTTAGGACTTTTCTCCAGAGTTTCTAGTAATTTGAATATTGCGGCATAAACCTACATGAAAGTTCTCTTCCTGAGGCAGTCTGGCCCTGGGCAGGGGCCGGACTGGCGACCCTCAGCCTTCCAGCCAGATTCGGGACTGTACGAGAGCCTGGCATGTGACCCGGCTGGCAGCTCTCTTGTCTACACACAATGCTTCACTTTCATCCTGTTCCGGCCATGGCTGCTTGTGCCCACCCACCACCCTCAATCTAGAGTAGACCCTGTCCTGACTCTGGCCCTTTCCTAACCATCTGCGAATGTAGGGAGCAGAGGTTCCTGGTGATGGGAGTTTCCTCCAGAGCTACTGGGACCAGGAAGAATTTAAATATGAATTTACAGCTCGGTGCCTTGACTCATGCAACTCTTCAAAGCAAAGGAATAATCCTCCAACCTCCCTTCTCCCCGTAGGAGCACACGTGCACGTGTGTGCGCGCACACACACAGACAACCTTTCCCCTTTCTAGTCTCATTCCTCCAAACCCGCCCCCCCCATCTTCTAAGTGTTAGATTGACTTGACACAGGTTAGAGAAAAGTTAGGCTGGGCCAACAGCACATTTGGATCCAGGTTAATTTTAGTCTCGAGCTTTACCCTTTCGCGCTCCTCCTCGCCTTTACTCGGCAGGCACAAGCACAGCCTGGCTGGTGATTTTAAATAGGCCCCCCGACCTTTCCATAGAGGTGTCCAGTTTCAGGGCTTCCTTTGGGAAGTGCGGGAGTCGAGGGAGGAGCCAGAGCAGAGAGCGAGGTGGAGCAGTACTGAGTGCTCAGGGGAGGGGAGCACAGAGGCCAGGGCCGCCTGAGGCTGCACTGGCTGTAACCCAAACTATTACGCCTTGCAGGTCAACACTGGACATACGAAGGTGAGAGCAGAGTGTGAGACCTACCGCCTCCCCATACACACTGGGACCTCCTCGCCTGGCAGGAAGACGTGCGGTGGGGAGGTTTCCTTTAGCACCCAGCCCGGCTCCTCAGATCTGGGCCTCCCCATGCCTTGGGCTTCGCATCCATGGCACCTAGATCTGGTTCTCATTGTCAAATCCCACACCATCTGACTGGGCAGGCAGCCAGTTAGGTCCTTAGTCAGTCCTTGTAGGAGTGAGGGAGCTGGAAACTGGTGGGGAAGAGAACTCTGAGCTTAGCTGCCAGGTCTCCTGGCTCTCTCTATTCCAACCGGTCCTACCCACAACCTGCACCTGGAATTGGGATGCAGCTGGAGGTCAAGGGTGAAGAGACTGGCAGGATGGTTTGTGACCCTGGGGAGGTGGAACTCAAGTCCTGTGAGCTGCTGATTTACGACTTAACTGAACTCCAGAGTTCACGCAAGGTCTGTGTGAGAGCAAGAAATGAATGACAAAGTCAGGATGCCTGAATCCCAAGACCACTTGAAGGGGGCCCCGAGGAGACCTCAGCTCTCTAGAATCATTTTACTTCCCCGTCTGCCTATCCCTACTCATCCATCCACTGTCTGGGTACTCAGACTTGCTATTCACTGCCTCTTCCCTTCATTCAGCTTCTTGTCCTCAAACTACAGGTAAGTAAGAGAGCCAGCACTCCCCACTTGTCAGCACACCTGGGGAATCACCTCACCCAGCACAGCAGGGGTTTTGGCCTGGGTGGAAGGAAGTACATTGCTACCTCCACACAGATGTATGACTTGCTGGGGGAGGAGCGTCGAGGGGTAGCCAATGTCCTTGTAACTCTCACCAGGCCCCCATGGTCAGGACCACTGGCCAGCCTCTTACCCTGAGTGTGGAAGCAATGCCCAGTCCCCCATCGACATCCAGACTGACAGGGTGACATTTGACCCTGAGTTGCCTGCTCTGCAGCCCCATGGATATGACCAACCTGGCACTGAGCCGTTGGACCTACACAATAACGGCCACACAGGTAAAAGCCTGGGCTCCAAGGAGCCGTCGTTTCTAGCCCAAATCTTAGCAGTCAGGGAAACGTTTGGAAATCTTAGAAGTCATGAAGAGTTTGGACTAGGACACAATGACAGGGATGGCTGGTCCTGGGGAAGAGGACCTGGGCACTGGGAAAAGTCATCCTCCTAACTTGTGACTTCTCAGAAAGCTTGGTCTGTGGATCTGGAGATATAAGAATGGGGGTCAGGCTCCTGCAGCCAAGGTGGGAATTGAGATGTCTGTGATCTAGCTCAATGGGCAGGTTCGTGTCCTAGCACTGACATGCTCTTCACAGAGGAAACGGGAGAGTCGCTACAAAAGCATCAGCCTGTGGGAAGAACTGGGTGCTAGGAAGAGGTGGAGCAGTACTAAGTGCCTAGGGAGGGGAGTGTGGAGGCCAGGGCTGCCCAAGGCTGCGCTGGCTGTAACCCAAACGAAGAGGGAGGCCAAACCTCCCAGAAGTGGTGGCAAGCTAGGAGTGGGAACACGTCCACATCTCACCAATCTTCGCTTGCTCTTTTCCTCACAGTGCAACTCTCTTTGCCCCCTACTCTGCATCTGGGTGGGCTTCCCGGAAAATACGTGGCTGCCCAGCTCCACCTGCACTGGGGTCAGAAAGGATCCCCAGGGGGATCAGAGCACCAGATCAATGGTGAAGCCACAGCTGCAGAGGTACTAGGGAATGAAGAGTTTGAACTAGGACGCAGTGACAGGGATGGCTGGACACTGGGAAGTCATGTTGGGGATAAGGCCAACCTTTGCGGGACAGACTTAGTGGATGCTGGTGGCGTTGCGGGGGGTGGAGGTGGGCAGCTAGGGTCAAGGCCCTGAAGGGGGTGGGGAAACATGGAACGATGCACGTCCCTCTTCCTTCCCTCAGCTCCATATCGTACACTATGACTCTGATTCCTACGACAGCTTGAGTGAGGCTGCCCGGAAGCCTCAGGGCCTGGCTGTCCTGGGCATCCTGATTGAGGTCAGTACCCCCCAACCTTCCCAGGCCTCACTCTGCTTCCTCTGCATTCTTCAGATCCATCCTGTTGCTGGCCTCTCTCCCAAGGCAGGCAGCAACCCACCCTGTTTATTCTATGCACGAATGTCTTCCTCCAAACACAGACTCATTCCAAACTCTCTCCCTTTCCTCCCCTTCCAGGTGGGTGAGACTAAGAATATAGCTTATGAACAAATTCTGAGTCACTTGCATGAAATCAGGCATAAAGGTGAGCCCTAAAAAGCTATAGTAGGAGGAAGTGAGATTAGACTTTAGAGAAACTTCCAAAAATTTACCTCAGAAGCCTTGGGATGAGGCCAGGAGTTGGGGCCAAGGAGCTTTGCTTCCAGGAGCCCTGTCTAGGTAAGCAAGTACTGGTCTGTTCTCCCCAGATCAGAAGACCTCAGTGCCTCCCTTCAACGTGAGAGAGCTGCTCCCCCCACAGCTGGGGCAGTTCTTCCGATACAATGGCTCGCTCACGACTCCCCCCTGCTACCAGAGTGTCCTCTGGACAGTCTTCATTCGAAGGGCCCAGATTTCAATGGAGCAGGTGAGTGGTGGAAAGGTAAGGTGAGAGAGACAGAATTTTGGTTTTTTTGTTTCTGGGGGCTTTTTTTTTTTGAGTCAGAGTCTCACTCTGTTGCCCAGGCTGGAGTGCAAGGCATGCTCACGGTCACCCCAGCATCGACCCACTGGGCTCAGGTGATCCTTCCGCCTCAGCCTTCCAAGTAGCCAGAACTACAGGCGTGCGCTACCACACCCAGCTTATTTTTTGATTTATTGTAGAGACAGGGTCTTGCCAAGTTGCCCAGGATGGTCTCAAACCCCTGGGATCAGGCAATCCTTTTGCCTCGGCCTCCCAAAGTGCTGGGATTACAGACGAGCCACTGCGCCTGGCCAAGTTTTAACTTCAGATCTTTTATCCCTCCCTAGAGTGACGCTTTTTCCATTGTCTACTCCTCAGCTGGAAACACTCCAAGAGACGTTGTTCTCCACAGAAGAGGAGTCCTCTGAGCTGCTGGTGCAGAACTACCGAGCCCCTCAACCTCTCAATCAGCGAGCAGTCTTGGCTTCCTTCATCCAAGGTGACTGTGCAGGGTTCAGAAGAGGAGGTGGGAAACTGGGAGACTCAATGGCAGGAACTAGGGAGCCCATGAGAAGGAAAGGGCTAAGATGGAAAGGGGTTTCCAGGACTTGCTGGACTGGGAACCACCCTTTACCCCCAGGCATAGTTGCAGAGTCCTGCCCCCAGCTGGGATGCTAATCTGAAGTCCTACTAACAAATTTTCTTGCCTTACAGCAGGACCCTTGTACACCACAGGTAAGACGGCCCTACCAGGTATTGGGGGTGGGGGGGTGCCCTCAGCGAGTGGGGAAAAGTTCAGCATCTACACAGTCCTAGGCTGACACCATCCCTCTTTATCTCCCCCAGGTGAAATGCTGAGTCTAGGTGTGGGAATCCTGGTTGGCTGTCTCTGCCTTCTGCTGGCTGTCTATTTCATCGCCAGAAAAATTCGGTGAGGTCCTGCTTTCCATTCTTCCAGACCTTCTTCTCTGTTAAAAAAAAAAATATTCTCCTATCTCACCTTTCATCTGCTTCACTTGGGACACTGGTCATTCCCATGACCCAGGAAGAAGAGGCTGGAAAACCGGAAGAGTGTGGTCTTCACCTCAGCACGAGCCGCCACTGAGGCCTAAGCTCCCTCTCAGAGACGGTGAATGTGGATGCCTTCCCCTCATGCCTATCGGAAAGCCTCTAAGATGGGGTGCAGGGACTGGCCAGAAAATACCATAGGAGTAGTAAACAGACAACCCTCCTTCCTCGGGACATCCCCTGCAGAGAGGTATGGACCCAGGTCCTTGTTCAAGGAAGAAGAGCTTCTCAAAACGTGGAGAAGCAGGAGGTCCCTGTGTTGTTACTGCAGGGAACAAACTGTTGAGTCACAGGGGAAGTTCAAGATGCATCCCAAGTCCCCATTCCCTCAGCTCTATGCCACTTTCCCTCGATAGACTGCAGGATCCAAGAGTTGCTGTTGAGGTTACATATATATTTTTTGCTCGGTATATTTGGAAATTAAAGTTTCTGATTTTAATTCTGACCTATACTTCGGGACTCTCGAGGGTGGCCAAGTTCCTCAATCCCTCAGGGAGGAGAGATGGCACAGGACAGGAAAAAGAAGCAAGGGTGATCAACTCCTTCCATCCACCCCTGGAAGATTCCCTTCTGGAAGAAAAATACTTAACCCAAAGTTCTGACATGTTAAACCACCAGCCCACATTTCTGCCCTTGCACTAAAGCTATGCTTGGAGGTCAGTGGCTGCCAGGTTAGGAAAGAGGCTGAACGAGAGACGTGAGAGGGCAGAAATCTCAGTTCACATGTTATCCCCTCCCTGAAAAGCCAAGTTCCCCACAATTACAAAGTCCTTTTTATTAGTCAAAATCACAATCACCTTGATTAAAAGGATGGAATACCCCACCCTCAGCAGAAAATGATACAGTTTATAGAAAACCTCCCCACCCCTCCCACAGCCCAATTAAAAACTACAAAAAATCTGCCCTCCTTCCCTACGATGTCCTGGCAGTCTGGTTCCTCCAGGGCACTGCAGCTCTGGAGTGGGCCAGCTCACCACAGCACCCTCCGCTTCGCCTTGGGGAGAGGAGGGATGCTGGTGGTCAAGGAGGGTGACACCATTAGTTCCAGCAATGCCAGTTCCCAAACATGCACTTCCTTCCTTTCCCCCAGGGCCTGGAACCAAGGGGAAAGGGTCAGAAATGAGCCCAGCCACAAGGAGCAATTCGAGGAGAGAAAATGTAGCCCAAGGAGGTTAGAAGAGTTCCACCACACCTCCTCCCGCCCCCCACTCAAAAGAGAAAAGGCAGTTTGGGGTCTTTATCACACCAAAAATGGTTCCCCTCAGACCTGAGAAAAAGACCAAGATGTCCAGTCTGGGGAGGGGGAACTGGACCACTCAGAGCTTGTCTACCCTTGAGCCTCCATTAATTCATCTCCAGGGCAATGGCTAAACTAGGTCCCTTTTCTTGGCAACCTGCACTGTCCAGAACTGGAGATGAAGAAATACAGGGCGAGGAGATCAGGAGGGTACCCCAGGCCCAGGGGTCCCCCCCAGGTTCCCTCAGTCCTCGGGTGGGATGCGCAGGGCAGAATACACCATCACCCGACTGTCCTCCTGCCGTCGGCCTGCAGAGGGGAAGGGGGGTGAGTCTTGGGCAGGGTGAGAGCAGAGCACTGACACATGGGGAGTCCTGGACAACAAGGGGGTCCCCAGGTGGGGGGGGGATAAGTGCAGATTCAAACCCACCAGTCACTGACTGGCTGAACCCAGGCTGCTCCTGGTAAAGCTCAGAGACTAGAGGCCACACACGGACAAAGCAAAACCCTGAAGGTGGTGGGGTAGACCGACGAGAAAGAAACAGAGAGTGGGCAATGGACCCGGGTGGGGGCTGGGCTCAGTCATGGGCAGTGAACAGGCAGGTGGGATCTGTCAGGCGATCAGTCCAGGTAGTCAGTCCTTACACGAGAGGCTGCGCTGGATACTTCGGAGGGACCCTCCAGCTGTGATGAAAGCCCAGAGCCCCATGGAAACAGTGACTGCATAGATGGGTAGAAGGCTGGCCTCATACCAAGGGTTCAGGAACGTCTGGGATTGAGGGGAAGAGGAGGAAAAAAGTGAGATTCTTCCAATTAACCCCCTGATTCTCTTTGTGATTCCAACCTCCTCCAGATATCTCTCTCAAATTCCCCAGCCTTTCCCTTGAGAGCAGCAGCAGCTTGTGGGTAAGAAAAAGCTGAACTTTTGATGTTCAGCTCCCTCAGAGGTTCCTGCCACTTCTGCTCACCTCAGCCCTCTGCATTACAGCTGACTAATCCATTCAAACACCTCCCCAGCACAGGTGGTACGCTGATGCTGAGGCAAAAGACCTCACGACTTACATTCCCACGTCCTCCCCAGGTACGTTTAAAATGTGAAGTAAGGATATGCTTTCCCTCCCGCATCCCACTCACCATCAAATGCTTTTCTCCCTTACTCAGGCCCCCTGTCTCCAACTCACCAGTCCTGATGTCAGTAGGTGACTCCCAACCACAAGGCCCAAAGCCCAGTACCGTCTCCTCTCACAGGCATCAAAGAACACAACTCCCCAAAAGGTATGGAGCAGGATAATGGCTGCTGTCAGAAAGGCTGCAGGGAGGGAGATGGGGATGAGATACATCCCTGATCTTCTCCCAGCCTCCTGAGATGCTGAACCACAGAAGTCTCCCAGGGAAGGCCAATATATCAGATCAGGGCCAGGGACGGATGGGGCATGAAAGCAAGATAGGAAGTGGGTCTTACCTGAAGTTAGGAAGTAATAGGGTGAGTCTCCGTGGATGCCAACCACACCTGGCCCAAGTGCATCGGCCAAAATATTGATAACAGAGAAGACACCACTGATGATACCGAAGGAGAGACCAGAAACTGGGGGAAGGGAGGGTCTCATCAATGTAAGTGATCGCCATAGCCTGTTTATCAGTGACCCCTCCCCATTCCCAGTCTCAATTTTTCCACACCTACTCTCCCTCCAGACCGCTTCTCTTTGGAAGTTAGGTATGAAGAAAAATAAGATGCCGCTTAGAACATGTGGATATTTAGAGACTTCCCTAGGGGAGGGGCACTGTCCAACGCCCTCCTCCAGCCCCTCTCCCTTGGCTCACCATAGGCCATCTGGCGGATGGAGATGGGTGATCTTCCGTCCTCACTCAGCGATGCTAACCCCTCATCTGCCTTCCTGGGGTGGGTGGGGTGGGGCAAACATGAGGGAGGGCACAGGTGTTCCTTTCCCTCTAATGTCCTCCCTTAGTGCTTCCTTTTCCAAATCGCCACCCAGGGGCTGCCCCACTTCCCACAGTGCAATCCTCTGCCCCTCTCCCCTCCAGACCACTCCCACTCCATCTTCTTACTTAAGCAGCTTGTAGTAGGCAAAGCGGAACACCTCCTGTAGAAGGACAGAGACTGCAGCACCAAAAATCAGGAGGCCATACTGGAGCCGGGCATCTGACCGGTCGGTCACATGGACCAAGATGAACCAGACCACAGAGGCTAGGAGCAGGGAGACCAGCCAGAAAAATGCCCTGAGAAAAGACAAGGGCAATGAGACAGGCAATGGTAGAGGCAGCCAGAGAAATCAAGGAGGGGAACCAGCCAAGGCTGCATGAAAAGTGGAAGTTAGACTTCCGGTTGGTTATGGAGACAGGGACCAGATAGGGTAGGTGTCTCCAACAAGGCACTCATCTGTAGAAATCCGGACGCTGGGGAAGGGGAAGAAATCTGATTAAAGAGTCTTCAGAGCGATGAGAGCCAGAGGGTGCGAGCACGGAAGGGCGAGGTATCCATCCCCGGATCCTCCCTTAAGGCACCTGACTCGGCCGGCCGAGGTCAGCACAGTCCCTTCCCGAGTCCCGGCCTTGGGCCTCCTCTGACGTCGCGGGGAGAAATATAGGAGGAATCTGTGAGATCCCTGGAAGGCGGAAACCAACTGCGGGAAAGGGCAAATCACCCAGACCCCACCCCTCACCCCCGTCCACCCTTCACCTCCCACTTATCCCCCCAATTCAGGTTCCCAGGCTCGCCCCAGATCTCCCAGCCCCTTCCGCATCTCGATTTTCGACGCTCTCCCGGGTCTCCCCGACCCCTACTCACCCCGCGACCAGGATGATAACGCGAAGCGGGTCCCCAGCCACAGTGATCAGGAAAAGCGCGAAGGCCGGGCCGAACGCGACGAAAGTGCATCCGAAAAACACCGCAGCCCCCATGGCTGGGCAGCTGGGGGCGGGGTGGAGGCCTGAGCCAGAGAGGCGAATGGGAGGAGCGCGTCAGCTGGGAAGTCCGCGTGGGGTGGCAACGCGACCCCACGAGGGGCGCGGTGCAATGTCACCCCCGGACCCCGGGGGAGGGGAAGGGGGGGCACCGAAGCCCCAGATGAAGGTCCGCGCGACTTCCTCTACGGAAGCCGAGGAGGGGACAAA